TTATGTACATGTATCAATAATGTATGCAGTAACTTAAACATTAACTCCTCATCTGTCAAGGAATCTCCAATATTTCTGGATATTCATCAGGTATGTGATTCAAAGTATACTTGACAAAAAGTCAGTAAGTCTATGCTTCTTGTACAGCAGTAGCTCCACCAGCAGTCAAATAGGTGAAAACTTCCACGTCTCTCCAATCAGTAAAATATACTGCCCCATTTTTCAGTTAGGCAGCACAGCCTGCTCCATGAGACCACAAACCTTGCAAAAGCCTATATGCAAATCACATACTCAAGGGAGTGACAATTTTAGTATTTGGTCTTTAATGATTCGTCAAATACACCTAGGATTTCCTATTTCTTCAAATTGTCACTTTCCAGAAAACGCGAGTTAGAATTATTAGAAGTTTTGTGTCATATATATATATATATACACACACACACACACACACACACACATATATATATATATACACACACCCCAGTAATGAAATGGGCAATTCATAGAGGTCCAAAATTGTATGACAACCTGCATAGGGATTTGGGATTCTATTTTCAAAGGTAGGGTTCAAAATATTTTAAATCTAAGTTAAACATTTATAATAAACCATACTCAAAACTAACAAATTTCTAGCCTAATATTTTAAGCTATTTTTACAAAAGAAAGATCAAAATTGTAAAGAAAAAAAATCACAACCTTATTCAACTTCAAGATGAAAATCTCAACAGGACAATTCATAAGAACACACCAAAAAATGCACTTACTTTAAGAAAAAAATTAAGATACAGAGATCATGCAACAAAAACATCTTAGAAGCTTTATTACTTAAGTCACTAATAAGCTACTCCAAGGAATGTGAAACAGATCATGATTTGAACAAACAGTACATTTGTTAAGCTTCAGCAGATAAAAGCATTCCAGACTGTCGAGATAAATCAATAAATGTAAGCAACAACCAAAATGTAAAGATACAATACAACTACCAACCAGAAAGCACTATCTTATTAAGTTTACAGATCCAAATATTAAAATATTTTAAATATAAACTATACAATTATAAAGTCACAGTAACAAACACTGTATAAGTATGACAGCATTGTGAGGTTCCTGTGATCACAGATTTGATTTCATAAATTCAGGAATTGTAACCAGGTAAATGTTTTGATAAATCATCAAAACTGTCTAAAAATATCAGGTGTATCAAAAGAAATAAGAGTCAAATAAAAATATAAACTGAGAGGCATCAGTCAAAGGGTGCCTTTTACAATTTCATGTTTAAATGTACATTTTTTCATTCATAGAACTTTCTCAAATGTCTATTTACTATAATTTACTACTACAGGGCTCCTCTATGGCCCTCAGTTACAAGTTGGGATATCCGAGATTCTTCAAAGAAAAAAATGTGCCTTGTATGTAAAATGGTGCAATGCAGCAATGGCTAAACCCACAAGGTCATTTTTCTGCACCACAAAAACCTGAAAACTGAAATTTACAGACAGAAAAACTGTAGTTTACAGGAAAGGCCCCTTTGAATGGAGGTACCTTACCTCTTGACTACTGTAAGAGGCCTTAAGTCAGAACTCAACTTTCATAAATTGCTACCAAAAAATTAGGGTGTGGCATTTTACCAATCTCAAGGTCACACTTTAAAAAACAAACTGAAATAAGAAAAATACTTATAATCATACAGATAGTAATCCATGGCTGTCAAGGTAAACAACTGTAAGCCAAAGGTCCCCCCAAAAAAGGCAAAAAAGGAAGAAAGTTGATAGCTCATACCTCGAAGCATTGCTGGGTAGCGAACTGTCCTCCTCTTGGCTTTTGTCCTTATTTCTCATCATCTTTTAATTCTTAAATATTAAGGGGGAGGGGGAATCTGTGTTTGAAGTCCCGTGCCCAGGTATTTACTGTCAAAAGTTGAAAGAAAGGTAAGGTCCCAGCTTCTATGGATGGTATTTATTATCAGGAACAGAGTCCTGACGATGTTAGTGACATTGATATAATGCAGTAACTGTAAGCACCGAAAAAACATATATTTCTATTTTTACTTTTAAAAAAAACACAAAAGCAGATGAGCCCAACAGTGAAAGCATCACTATCAAGAGGAAAGTTTCTCAAACTAACACACTGGATACAAATAACAATCTCTGAATCTTATTGCGTCACTCAGGAATTTCTCTTATTTATACAAAATAAAACAAGCTTTAACATATAAATCTTTGAGATTATCATTAATTATCATGAACTTACCTGATCCATGTAGTCTATCCAAAGCAAGAGTCCTATCTAGTGGCAGAAAAATATCAGAACCAAAATAATTCAAAATAACGCCAAAATCCTCCGGTAAAAAAACAAAAAATAAATAAAACAATCCTCAAATGTTAACTGATCAAAAAATAAAGCAATAATCAACACTAAAACGGGTCCGGAAGGGGAAAAAAACCTCATTAGGAGAGCGCACAAAAATGGAGGTGCGCCATGGCTTCTGAGCTGCAAAAACAACGACCTGGGATCTCAGTACGGCGGCTTCTTTCCAGCAAGGCACGACGAGAAAGCTCCCCAAAGCTGCTTTTCTCTCTAAAAAAAGGCTCCACTCGACCCCAGAAAGTCAGTAGAAGGCAGGGGGCTGTGGGGGCCCCCTGAGGCTGCCCAAAAGTTAGGGAAAGTTGCGGAAAGTGAGGCAGAGGCAGGGAGAGAGCGCGCTCTCTCTAAGGCACAGCCGCCATCTAGAGCCTCCTTCCCAGCTCTGAGAGCTCTGCCTTTGATTGACACTCTCTACATTTACCCCACAACTCAGGTGATGTACCATAGACCCACCCCTTCTCTCCACCAAAAAAAAAAAAAAGAAAAAAAAGAAAGATCTTCCATCCCAGGGAGCCTGAAGACCCCCACCCCCTACCTCCCTGCCCCTCCAGACCACCCCATCAAGGGGAGGGGGAAGGGCTTCTTAACCCCCTCTGGCTCCAGCACCCTTTTTAAGCCAGAGAGAAATGTAATTTGTTCCTTTTGTCTAAAGATCTGCTAAATATTTCAGTCCTTCAGCTAAAATAACTTCCTCCCTGGACAGGAAGTGGAGTTTTATCAAGCCATTTTGAAATGGGATAATTCTTAAATGAATCTAAAAGCCCAGCTTAAGTACTAATCTTTTTTTAAAAAATTAAGCCCCCCCCATGAATGGAATGGTTTCCAAATAAAAGCAAAACCTCAGTTCTGCAAATTGAACTCAAGCCTTCCCATCTTTATGGTGCCTAAAAATTATGCAAAGTCAAAATTTTAAATGGAATTTTCCATCCCAACTGGGAGAAAAGGGTAATTTTTAATAACTCAAGAGCGCCTCCCTAGTGTTCAGTTTCATTAAGAGCAAAACTTAACCAGGATTTTTTTTTGCTCAAGAATCTCAGTACTTCTTTGTACTTTGATAAAAATTATTTAACCCATTATGATAACCTTGGTAATTTCACCCACCAAAAAAATTTTAATTACCACAAAATACCTTCACACAATGATATTGGCAAAACCAACTACAAATTCAGGAGTATGGACCAACCATTGTCACTAAACAACAAACCCAAAAAACTATCTCTAAAACCAAAAACATATATCCTAACAGTAAACTCATACTTCCAAATTCTAAGCATACACTCATTTAAACAATGATGAGATTATTAATAAAATAAATCTAATGATAAACTACCAAAGCAATGTCACAAGGCAAAAATCTTAGGACCAAAACCCTAAGATCCATAGAAACAAAATTATACTATGCCAAAAACAATGACACAATGTTCTCATGAAATACCCTGTAAACAAGTAACCATGTTGACAAGCCCTAAAATGTCCAATCAACATTCCATACTCAACACAAAATCAGATCAATCACAACCATGTCCTTCCCTCACCAACCATACCCAGTTTAGATACACAACCAACAAAAACAACAATGTTCAATCTAGGTAAATTAAAACACAAAACCCAGATTTCCAATTCTTCAAAAAGATTAACTTCTACATCAAAATCAAAACCCAAATATTCCACTCCTGCATTTAAAGATCAGTCAAGAACAAAAGATCAGTCAAGAACAAACACTGTATCCAGTATTGATCATGGATCGTGCTGGCTATGGTACTTGACATTGGATACACAGTAAGATTATTTGTAACACAAAAATTATCCTAAAATATTCCTTGTATGAGAAAATATAATCAATTATTCATGTGGCCTAACCAAAATAAAACCTATTATCTTTGTATGATTATAGATACTAAAGGTGGCTATTAGACAATTCACAATGAAAACCTGGCATTTGAAATTTAGCCATAGGTAATTTATGGTATGGTATGATTAATTTGTTCCAAATCCAAAACTCAATACAGTTAAGGAAACATAAGATACCTATTGCAAATATTATACACAATTAGCAATATATTTAAGTCTCTTTCTGTATACCCTACCCTTAGGACAAGTTCCTATTAATACAAAACTTCCCTTAGCATTAAGACATAGGAAACATCAGATTGAATATTCAACTGACCATGCTATTAAGTTGTATTTAAAAGCACAGGTTAAAGGGACCCATTTTCATCAACATAAAGTAATTGAAAGAGAAATAGTTTATCTCATCCTGAATTTGCAGTCAATAACCATATTGTTTTAAAGGAAATCTCATACAGATTAAAGATTCTATTATTACCAGTGATTAAGTCATTTTTCAAGATGCTTCAAGAAAACCAAAAAAAAAAATTAAGGAAATTCACTCAGAATTTGGAAGATATAAAGCACAAGCAAAATCATGTTTTAACCAAGTGACCACCCCAAAGCACATCAATTTACATAGTCTGTGAATAAACATTCAACTCAAATAAAACATGTCCCAGCACACATCCATTTCACCAGCTTTATTCAGTATTCTTTACTTCTGGGCAACATTAAAGGTCAAAGCATTATTAGGGTTATAACTGAATGAAACTTCTACTTTAAAAAAAAAGGCCAAAACTGATCAATTCAAGTGTTAGAAGTTTTATTGATGTTAACATTCCATGAGGTCATATTTAAATCAAATTGCAAAAAAGGTTCAGGAATACAAACTAGCCTCTGGTTTAGATGTCATCTTTCTTCTAATTTTAATGACATGAATGTCTCTAGAAAGTCACATCCACTGTCCACATGAGGTGGTTAGAGACCTGTATCTTCAGTCTCATGGAATCCATGTTAAAGAACCCTGCTTGGTTGTACATATCACAGCACTCTTGTATTAAATCCATTTTCCTCAGTTTGCCATACTGGACTGCCATCTTGATTTCTCAGTGGAAGGATCCATTTGACTCTTCAAGCTGAGTTGAGTGGCTTGACTTAAAAAAAAAAATTAAAAGAAAAAAATGCTGTTGGAATACCAATAAGCTTAATGCTTCAAACAACATCCACATACCTTGAAGATATCATACCAGATACAAATTCTTAATTCCGTAACCATTTTCAACTTAAAAGATCATAAATAGACAAATAACGAGTTTCCCTATGATACATTTGTATCAATTCCAATAGTAGAGATAAAGGACCAAACTTTCAATATTGAACTCCAACATCTTTACACTACATACATGAAAAGTAGAAACAAAAATTCAAATTCAAAATCTCTAGAAAGCTGAATAATAAACACTGTGGATTCTAAATCTCAATGCAGAAAAGTTTCCAAGCTCATTCAAAGAAAACTAATTATAGAAAAGTATCTTAAGGGATTTGAAAAGGAGAGGATCATGGAATACCTTTCCAGTCTAACAGATGTTAATTTTGTCTAAATACAAATGGCCTATATAGATAACACCATCTTTACTATGTTTGACATGAAATGGATCACTTCTCAAATTATATACAACTAAAATACATTATCAAAAACTCAAATGTTTCTCATAGAAAAGTATATCTAGTATCCAAATAATATGCACTGAAAGTAGAAATGAGAAGCTGAAGACTTTATCACTAAATAATTGGATCTATATTAAAAAATAATTTAAGGGCTGGGAAGTTGGCTCAGTGGTAGAGTGCTTGCCTTGCATGCATGAGGCCCTGGGTTCCATTCCTCAGCACCACATAAGCAAAAAATAGCCAGAAGTGGTGCTGTGGCTTTAGTAGGGCGCTAGCCTTGAGCTGAAGAGCTAAGGGACAGTGCCCAGGCCCAGAGTTCAGCCCCCACAACTGACAAAAAAAAAAAAAAACAGAAAAACAAAAATAAAACATCATTTCAAAAAATAAATTAAAAAATAAAACATAATTTAAAAAAAAAAAACAAGTTTAAACCATAGGCTTTTCCAAATTGTTTGTCTACAACTCAATTTGTGGAGAGTGCCTCATTTGGAGATAAATAGGATATTTTTGGCACTGGATTAATTTCCTTCTCTCCTTAATTATAATTAGGATGTTATCTACCATATACAAAAGACTACTTAATAAACCATTTAGGTAACAGAATACTGACACAATAGTAGAAAACTCATTTTTCTGGCACTGTGGTAAGGTGGCTCACCCTAACAGGAAGGCTTAAACTAAGAGGATGGTTGTTCAAGCACAGTCAGGGAAAAAGTTCATATTAGACTCTAATCTCAACCAATAAAAAAAGCTGAGTGGAACAGTTGCATGCCTGTCATTCTAGCTTTACATATAGTCCAAATAGGAGCATCAGAAAGCCTAGGATCCTAGGATAAAAAGCAAGACTCTTCTCAAAAAATAACCAAAGCGGGGCTGGGAAGGTAGCTCAGCGGTAGAGTGCATGCCTTGCAAGCATGAGGCCCTGGGTTCAATTCCTCGGCACCACATAAACAGAAAAAGCCGGAAGTGGCACTGTGGCTCCAGTGGTAGAGCACTAGCCTTGAGCTGAAGAGCTGAGGGACAGCGCCCAGACCCAGAGTTCAGGCCCCATGACAGGCAAAAAAAAATAAAATAAAATAACCAAAGCCTGTAATCCTAGCTACTTAGGAGGCTGAGATCTGAAGATCAAGGTTTGAAGCCAGTCCAGGAACTCCAATTAACCACCAAATGACTGGAAGTTAAATTGTAGCTCAAGTGATAGAGAACTAGCCTTGAGCAGAAAAGCTAAGGGGCAACAAACACCCAGGTCCTAAATTCAAGCCCCAGGATGAACAGAGGGAGGGAGGAAGGGAGGGAGGGAGGGAGGGAGGAGGGGGGAAGAGAGAGGGAGAAGGGGAGAGGGAGAGAGGAGGAGGAAGAGGGGAAGAGGGGGAGAGAGGGAGAGAAGGGAGAGAAGGGAGAGGGAAAGGAAGGGGAAGGAGGAAGGGAAGGGGAAGGGGAGAAGGAAAATATGATCATCTAAAGAGTTTATTATAAGCCAAATTTTTCAGTGTCTAATATAGTAATATAGGGTTCTCAAAAAGATGTTTGATGCAAATATTTTTCTAATTCCTTTTTTTTTTTTTGGTCGGTCATGGGGCTTGAACTCTGGGCTTGGGCTCTGCCCTTGCGCTCTTCAGCTTAAGGCGAGCGCTCTACCACTTGAGCCACAGCACCACTTCCTGATGCAAATTTTTTTATGAGCAATGACACACCAGGAATGCAGTCAGTAACTTCAGGAACTACAAATGCAATTTATCCCATTAGGCACATTAAATAATACTCAACATGTCTTGCCATGGTACAGGGGCTAAGTTTACCTAGAATACTATGTGTAGTTTCCTATTTTTTAATCAAAACATAACCTAATGCCATTATTAAAAGCATTAAAAATTAATCAAGGGGTTGGAGGTATGGCTTAGTTGGTAGGGCTCTAGCCAAGGAGTGAAAGCATCAGATACCAAGTTGAACTCTGGTCTCAAAAAAACTCAAAGAGGGCTGGGAAGTTGGCTCAGTGGTAGAGCACTTGCCTTGCATGCATGAGACCCTGGGTTCGATTCCTCAGCACCACATATGCAAAAAGAAAAAAAGCCAGAAGTGGCGCTGTGGCTCAAGTGGTAGAGCGCTAGCCTTGAGCTGAAGAGCTGAGGGACAGCGCCCAGGCCCAAAGTTCAGGCCCCATGACCGGACCCAAAAAAAAAAAAAAAACAAATGCCACAAGATAAAGTGGCCATCTCTTACTATAATTAATGAAAAGCCACATATGTCTATATGGACCAAAGGTCAGAACTCAGCTAAGAGCAAAGTGCTCACTCAAGTATCAAAGCTATTAAAAATCTGAGTTAAGAATCACCAGCTACATTCAGTTTCAAACTCTTAAAAAGCAATTTTGCACATACATAAATTTTTGCCAAGAGACCAGGCATGAGTACTATAAATAAGCCTGGGGTTTTTCCAGTTCTTCACGTGTTAACAGCAAATCACCAAAGTACCTACCTCTACCTCTGGCAGCACTACTGAGGATTGAGTTAGTACATTCTTAAAGACATTACCTAGTATATAAAAAAAACCTCAATAAATGTTGGATATCATTCCAATGCACCATAGCAACTCTAATACTTGGGAACTCAAACTAATACTACTATCAAAATTACTCAATTAGCCTTAGTAAATCTACCTCTGAAGAACAAACATATAGGATCATTTCGTCAGTTACTAATGAAAAAATAAAAAAAACTTTCAATATAAAGAGAGAATTCAAAATTGCAGGAATTCAGTTTCCAATTAAAGAAAAAAAAATGGACTGAGCTTAAATGTCATGTCCTAATGACTTTCTTCCTCCATTGAATAGTGAATTTTTGCAGATATCTTCTATTTGTTGAGCAGATAGAAGACACTTTCATGTAGAATTTCATAATCATCACACTTAGATCATCTGGATTTCCCATACAAGGTTAAAACACATAATATGTATTGTCTGAATTTCTCCATTTAGGAATTTTCTACTTTATATTCCTCCAAAAGGAATCTAAGAACAATTATCTAAGAACAATTCCAGGAGCAAAGGTAATTTTCAAAGCCAACATAGTAATGACCTCTTCAAATCCTCAAACGTTGTACATGTATCTAAGTTAAGGACAGTTGGGCACAAAAGTGTTCCCTTCAAATTCTACTTCATACATTTGTGCAAAGAATGAGCCATTATACAAAACAGTACAAATCTGCATTACGGCTAAGTCTATTTCTGGGCAAACTACCATTTCTAATAGCAAAGAAAAATGTAGAAGACTACAAGAAAAATCAGTAATACTTTAAAATTTCTAATGGGATGGCTCTAATAAAAAGCTATTACTAGCTTATTACTTCAAAACTTAAACATATGTCATGAGCTAACAGATACAAAATTACACCCTAGTATAAAAAATCAACCTTCCCATCACATAATTCAGACATTTCCTGATTTCTATATTCTTTGTGCTTTGTCTTTAAATTTGAGAACACTTAAGAATGTCCTATAAACTCACCTATCTTGTTACATTTAAAAAAAGCAGAGGGGGGGGAGTGTTCCAGTGGCTCATGCCTATAATCCTAGCTACTCAAGAGGTTCAAAGCCAGCCCTGGCAGTAGAGCTCCCCTGAGCCTCTTATCTCCAATTAACCACTCAAACAATGGAAGTGGCACTGTGGCTCAAGGGGTAGAATGCTAGCCTTGCACACAAAGCAGCTCAGGAGCAGTGCCCATGCCAAGAGAATATATATTACTATATCTGAGTATTAAATATGTTAGACATTCAAACCTGAAAAATGTCTTGAAAAGCACTACCAGGTATGTCACTAAATGGGCAAGAGCAATTGATAAGCAAAAAAACTGAGCCATCTTTACTAAGATTTTTCCAATCGAGTCAGTCTTCTCAATTGTCCCCACTGGTTTAAAACCAGACAACAAAACCTATTTAGCAGACTAAAATGAATCTAGCTCAAGAAGTGTGAGAAAGAGAGATTTTAATCACTTTAATATTTTTCTGAGTCAAAATTTTGGCTTTCACAAACTTGGGAGGCTCAATCCCCAGTATTGAAAAAAAAAAAATTTAAACTTCAAAGCACCTTAATATTTGACACAGTAAAATCTTATGTCTTTTTTCTTTTTTTTTTGAGGGGGGGGGGGGGTCCAGTCGTAGGCCTGAACTCTGGGCCTGGGTGCTGTCCCTCAGCTCTTCAGCTCAAGGCTAGCGCTCCACCACTTGAGCCACAGCGCCACTTCCGGCTTTTTCTTTTTGCTTATGTGGTGCTGAGGAATAGAACCCAGGGGCCTCAAGCATGCAAGGCAAGCGCTCTACCACTGAGCCACCTTCCCAGCCCAAATCTTATGTCTTAATGAATTTCATTTTGCTTTTTATTAGGCCAAAAACACTGGTTGATAAACAGTATTTATAATAGAGGCCAAATCTGCATATTAAGTCAACAAGTGTTAATGTGCCAGGTAACTCATCTCTTTAAGTTATATGACCAGACATGCATGCCATTAAGTTTGTAGAACCACTCTCCAGCCCAAAAAGCCATTTACACAACTGAAGCTGAATTACTGAGAGAATATGCAATCTAGATTCCCAAATGTTTCAAAAAGAATTATTCTTATGAAACAGCTAGTATGCAATTTCCTAAAATGTTCAATGATAAGTATTTTGAAGAACTTACCCAAATTCATTTTATATACACATGCCCTATGTAACTTTTCTACTAAATCTCAGGACTGTCTGGAGTTAGAAAAGCTGTAACATAGTACTGGCTATTAATAAAACATCCTGTATCAAATTAAAACCTCAGAGCCAGCCAGGCTTATTGGCTTTCAAGTTTAGGAATGACTTCATTTATTAGAAGTATCTACAATATTAAAGTAAGTGAACAGTATACTCAATAATTATCAAAAGAGAAACCAAAAACTTTGGCGTCCATGGCAAAGCTAACCCATCAGGATAAATCCGGGACCAATGTCAGCAAACTTTTCTTAAAAAAGAACCACTGTGGACCCTTCATATAGTTTTTTTTTTTTTTAATTTTATTTTTTTGGGTCCGGTCGTGGGGCCTGAATGAACTCTGGGCCTGGGCGCTGTCCCTCAGCTCTTCAGCTAGCGATCTACCACTTGAGCCACAGTGTTTTTTCTTTTTGCTTATGTGGTACTGAGGAATCGAACCCAGGGCCTCAGGCATGCAAGGCAAGCGCTCTACCACTGAGCCACCTTCCCAGCCCTTCATATAGTTTTTAACAACTGTCCATTCTGAAACTGGCTCAGGAAAGCAACTATAAGGTTACTGATGAAAGAGAACACGGTGTATTACAAAAAAATTACCTTACAAAAGGAATTTCAGACAGGTCCAAATATGTAAGTTTATGTTTTATTTTGCCTTAAAGGAAAGCAAAATAATAGAAATAGAAAAATAGAAAAACTACACTAATAAATTTCACACATACTTAACCAGGTTTATGTTCTTGCAATTGAGAGCTTTGCTAAATATTGTTACAATTCTGGTTCAAATTATCAGTCATTTTTAAAACTGAAAAACATTAATCATATAAATTAAATAATACTTACTAAATGTTCCCACCAATGTCTTGTTGTTTAGGCCTTTTTTACTTCATATGAGGAATCAAATTTCTGCAGGAAAAAATGTATCTTATTTTACATAGGAAATGGTAAAACTACTGTCAAACACATGATGCACACCATTTTGTCAATCATTTAGTTTCCCTAGAATTGCTGGGATTTTAACTCAGGACCTCATGATCACTTGGCTTGTTTGTTCTGTTGGTTCTCTACCACTCGAGCCATTACTCCAGTCTCAAACTTCAACTTATTTTTTAAGGATCACTCATCAACAGACCAAGAGGTATATACTGAAGTACATTTATTCCAAGCAAAGAAAAACTCTAAAATGACCATAAATTTAGCAGTGCAGGAAGCTAATTTTTGTGAGTTAAAATTGCATGCCTATCTCTCTCAGTCCCCCATGAAATCCAAAGAGCTAAAGAAATATTGGAGTTACAAAAGTAGAAGACTGAGTGTCCAGGGGTTAAAAAAAAAAGTCAGTATCACCACTTAACGGTCTTTCATCTTTCAAGCCTTTGTAAAGCTTTCATTTCTCACCTTCAAGGTCGGTTTTCTCTGTATATTAGTATATTCCCACACATTACCAGGTACTATAATCAACATAATGTGATACAAGTACATGACTGAAAATTCTAAAATATTAAGTAACAGTAAAACCTAAGGCATCATTTCAAACAGCTATTTCAAAGCTAAGACAATACATACTATTTTCTATATAGTAACAGGTACTTGGTAATAAAACTACTGTATTTATACTTGTCATTACACAAATAGATTTAAACCTAAGAGAACGCTAGAAGTGAAGTTAAGGTATTTTCTAAGGGGCCAACTTGCTGTGCCTCTAGCCTCTCATTGCCCAGCTAATGTTGCACAACTATAATGCAAAGGATCCCAGCAGCACCTCTCCTAAACTGATCAAGTTTGAGACAATTCTGCAAGCCAGGCTAAGCCTGTAATGCCATTCAGGAGGCTAGGATCCAAGGACTAAGAATCTTGTCCCCAAAGAAGTACCAAAAAAACTACAAGTAGAGCTGTGGCCTAAGTGGTAGTGTACTACCCTTGAGCACAAAAGCTCAGGGACAAAAGCCCTGAGTTCAATCCCTAGGATTGAACAAGACAAAAAAAAAGTGTGGCAGAAGATTTCAATTTAAGCAGACGAAAATCATTGGTTTTGCTCAGATTCCTACCCAACCTATAAATTTTGGACTATGCTTTATGATTTAAAAGTAAAATGCAAATATAATGTAAATATAAATCACTAAGAACAGTACTGTTTTATAAGAAATACAGCTTTATTATTTTAATAAATGCCTTTAAAATACTTTAAAACTAAAATCTAAAGGCATTGTGAAAGAAAAACACAAAAGTAGGGTAACAGTGGTTGCTAATATACCAAAAAACTCTGCTTGAAGACAAGTCATAAATCATTAAGCTTTAAACAAAAAAAAAAAAAAAAAATCTAGCTTGAGGAACATGGCTCAATTGGCTTTATGAAAGTGGGAATGAGGAGTTCAAATCTAGCCCCATCACTGAAATGTAAATGTTTGTAATTACTACTGGTCTCAACAGGTTGTGTACTACTCAACTTCAAAGGAATTTGCTTAACTTTCAAAAGAATAATCTGTGAAATGCAGACATAAGTATTAATGCATAAATCAAAACTTGGACTGTTACTCAAATATATACTTCAATGATAATCAGATCTCATCTTACTTATAACATGAGATTCACATTAACATTCGCCAACATTGCCAAGGCTAATTACATTCAGAAATAATAGCCCACTGGGAAATGAAAGTCTACATTCAATCTAGGGGAGGGGTCTGGAGGTGTGGTACATGTGCCTGTCTACCAATCTACAAGAGGAAGGAGGCTCATAAAGATACTAAGAATAGAAATTTCTAGCTGAGAACCAGTGCCTCACACCTAAAAAGCTAGCTACTCGGGAGGTGAGATCTGAGAATCCTGGTTGAAAGCAAGTTGGGGCAGAAAGTCCCACTAAAACTCTCCAATTAGCCCTCAAAAACTAGAAGTAGAAGCCAGACGCCAGTAGCTCAAGCCTGTAATCCTAGCTACTCAGGAGGCTGAGATCTGAGGATCACGGTTCAAAGCCAGCCCAGGCAGAAAAGTCCCTGCAACTCTTATCTCTGATTAACCACTAGAAAACCGAAGTGGCGCTAAGGCTCAAGAGGTAGAGTGCTCACCTTGAGCTGAAGAGCGCAGGGATAGCGCCCAAGCCCAGAGTTCAAGCCCCAGGACCAAAAAAAAAAAAAAAAAACTAGAAGTAGAGTTGTGGCTCAGAGTGGTAGATCACTAACTAGCCTTGAGCAAAAGAGCTCAGGGACAGCACACAGGCCAAGTTCAAATCCCACAACCAACAAAAACAAAAGAATAGAAATTTCATAAAAGTAATTAGATAACTATCAAATATACAAATATTTACTAAAGCTTTACTCTATTTAATCAAACTACAAAATATTAACAATTCCATTAGTAAAGACTTAGAAAAATGCTTTTGCTGCAAAATTCTAAGTACTAACTCAAGATTTCATATTTTTCCAATGGTTGTGTTCATATTATTTGAAGTTACTAAAAATCAACAAAAAGTATTATTACTCCAACCGTTTCCATGATTTCTGGTGCAAAAACTATGATGTCTATATGAAAAAATTAGATACTCTAAAGCGAAACTTAAGACTTTGCAATCCTCAGATCTCAGCTTACTGAGTAGCTAGGATGACAGGCATGAGCCACAGTGCCTAGCCAGAGTGGTATTTAGGAGGCTCCAGATTATTGCATGTTCTATTTGCCATTCCATTCCACCCCTAACAAGACAGTAAAATCTCAGCAGAAAAAAGTAAATTCCAGTTTTGTGGAGGTTTATGGGAGCTTGGAGTCTCAGACTTTCCTGCCAAGGCTGGCCTTACACAGCAATCCTCAGATATCTATTAGTAGATTTGCTATTAGTAGTCTAAAAACTTAAAAGCAAAAAAAAAAACAAACTAAAATTAGGAAAAACTACATTTTAAAGAAAATCTCTACACTTAAAATGAGTTATCCCATATATTTTCCACTAAATATCACTGTTCACAAAACATTGTGATATGACCTAACGTCTTTTTTGTGTGTGCTTAAGATGACTTTGAACCACCTGACTCAGATCTCAGACTCCTGAGGTAGGATTACAGGAGTGAGCCACAGGCACCGGGCCAACTTCTTTTATTTCTTTGGTCAGGTTAATTTTGAATTATCAGAACACCAAACATACCCCAGTCTAATCATGACCTGCTTATCATTTAAGAACAAGTCCAAAATCCTAACATAAAAAAACAACCTTGCCTGGTGCTAGTGGCTGATACCTGTAATCCTACTCAGGAGGCTCAGATCTGAAGATTTCGGGTTCAAGGCCAGCCTAGGCAGGAAAGTCCATGAGACTCTTAGCTCCAATAAACCTCCCGAAAACTGGAAGTAGAGCTGTGGCTCAAATTGGTAGAGCACTAGTCTTGAGCAAAAGACGTCAGGGACAGTGCCCATGCTTTAAGTTCAAGTCCCATGAAAGAAAGGAAAGAAAAAGAAAGGAAGGAAGGAAGGAAGGGAGGGAGGGAGGGAGGGAGGGAGGGAGGGAGGGGAGGAGAAAGAAAGAAAGGGGGAAGAGAGGGAGGGAGGGAGGGAAAGAGAGAGACACTGGGGGGGGGAAGAGAAGGAAGGAAAGAGACAGACCAAAGTATACAGGTTAAAACTTCCTTATGTATCATCTACTATGTGTACCTATGATAATAACTTCATTTACATAGACAGCTTCTCCATTTACATTTGCCCTCTGCCAGTTTTGTCCACTAAGTTAGATTGGCTCAAGCAATAAATATAACACAAGGTACAGTATTATGCCAGTACGTATATTTCTTCAAGATAAGATTTCTGGGGCTGGGAAGGTGGCTCAGTGGTAGAGTGCTTGCTTTGCATGCATGAAGCCCTGGTTTCCATTTCTCAGCACCACATAAACAGAAAAAGTCGGAAGTGGTGCTGTGGCCCAAGTGGTAGAGTACTAGCCTTGAGCTGAAGAGCTGAGGGACAGCGCCCAGGCCCAGAGTTCAGGCACCACGACTGGTTAAAAAAAAAAAAAAGGTAGGATTTCTTCTTCTAATTCTTCATCTCTTTGATGATAAAAGCTATATTCCATTAGATTAGGTAGGTTACCATATCACTTGAAAGTTTTTAATTAGTAATAGTACAGTAAGAAGGATTAAAATTCTCCATCTCAAATTTCTAAAATTCTTCGGCTTTTTTCCCCCTCTCTAATGGCTCAAATAATACCTTTGGTAGGCCAGTATAAACATAATTTACACTTACACTTCTGACTGCTTTACCCAGAACACTTCATTCTCAAATTTTCTACTAGTGCCCAACACATGAATGCCTACTTACTAAGCCTCATCAGTTGCTGAAACTCATCTTTACAGTCTTAAGAAGTTGGGATGAAGCCGGGCACCAGTGGCTCACACCTATAATCCTAGCTACTCAGGAGGCTGAGATCTAAAGATCGTGGTTCAAAGCCAGCCCGGGCAGGAAAGTCCATGAGACTTTTCTCTCCAATAAATGACTCAGAAAACCAGAAGTGGCACCGTGGCTCAAGTGGTAGACCACTTGCCTTGAGCTGAAGAGCTGAGGGAGAGTGCCCAAGCCCAGAGTTCAAGCCCCATGACCGACAAAAAAAAAAGAAAGAAAGAAAAGAAAAATTGGGATGGAGGTAGTTTTTTTTTAATGTTTTGACCCACTCTAGTATAGTTTAATATCTCAGATTTTGTTTCCATCTGCACACAATACATAACAAACTTGACCAAACCAAAAAACATTTTAAATAGAGACAGATAAGCTAAAGAAAGCAAAGGCATTAATGTAGTCTCTTCACCACCTATTTGAGTCAATGGAATAAGCGAACACCATCCATGAAGACTGCACTTTATTTTCCACATAAATTGCACAAAGGTAAATAGGTCCTTATTTTAATTGGTCACTTGTGTATTCTTTTACTCCCCAAGTTATCACTTACAATAGAATAACATTAATTTCCAGACTCACTTTTAAGTTAGTGTGAACACTTCTTTGCTTAACAAGATCAGAGCACATATTTTCTCCATTCAAGATGTCAATACATCGCTAAGCTAACCCCGGAGCTATTGACGATTGAAGATAATTTCTACTATTTAGGCTTTAGTTGTCTCTTCAGATAAAATAAGTTTGCTGGAAAACAACCCATTTTTACCTGTTTAAAAATAAACTGATCATATTTTAAATATATTTAATAACTAAGACAAGAAAGGTTTTTGATACGTAGTTCTTTCAAGAATCCTAGCAGCAGCAATAAAAAAATTCAAGGTCATTCTTAAAATATGACTAAAAAATGTCCTTTTTGTCTTATAAAGTCATAAGGTCCCGATGACTATGGCAGATATAACAATCTTAAATCACCATTTTAAAAACTAAGTGTCTTATTTGAATGTCTTACTTAAATTACCATTTTATTTCAAGTACTAAATGTCTTACTTCTTAGTTGAATGTAACTATATGCATGGGCATAAATTACATGCACAGACTAATAATAATCTACAAGTGTCTTGATTTGATGTAAGGTAGAAGAATCAGAAAGATCGTTTTCCTTTACTTTTTCATGTATAAATGATCCAGTTTGTCTCACTGAAAAACTCTTGTGGTATTTTCATACCCAAATGTTAATTATTGCATTTCAGATAAGAGGGTAAAAAAAAATTACTCACTTGCTATGTAAAACAGGTTTTCCAAAGGGTTTCCTTTTACCCTCAAGGACAAAAAACTGTCTTCAAAATGGCACACACCTTTTGGGGGAAACAAACAACATTCTAAACAACCTAATAATGAAGCAATCTATAGGAAGAAGAAATTAATATTTTCAGATTTTCCACTTATACAAGAAACAAACTAATTTATATCCTAACACTACCCATGAGAAATGTTCTCTCCTAAAATCTATTAGTTCAAAGGAAAACGACTTCAAATTTTTCAATAAATAATTTCTGTGACTTTAATGCTGAAACCATTCACATCATAGAAAAAGGAAAAAGATACCCTTGGATCCTTGGATTTCCCTAAAATAGTCTTGTCAACAAAATTAAACAAAGACTTAAAAGACTGTCAATATCTTATTCTACCCGAAAGTACATTGCAATGGCTAAGGCATATATCCTTTTTTTCTGTGAAGATTTAAAAAGGTTCCGAAAATTATTTCAGATATTTACTCATGCAACTTTTAAAAGCCATCCTATTAGTATTTATTGGCTGCTTGAAATGTATCATCAAAAAGCAAAACCAAAATTTTATGTCAAATCAATGAAAATTTTATGTAAAAGCAATAAAAATTAACCAGATCTTACCTGGGACAAAAGTTGTATTTGTTCACAACTACCAGCAATCAATTAAATTTAAATCTTGTAAGTTACCTTTAAAAAAAAGAAAGATATCAATTGTTTTTATTGTAAACATTTCTTAGTCAAAGAAACTGTTTATAACAAGAAAATATGAAAAAGACAAGCTCTAAGGGTGTCCTGAAGAGGTAGGTTGTGGCCATGACCTGTACATTCATGATAGCAGTCATTTCTCATCCTTAATGTCTATCAGTCTTTGTTTTCCCCATCTTTTGGTTGCACTCACATATACTAAGGATTAAGGCATAGCAATTAAAAATACAGAAAATTCAAGACATTGCTACAATCTTATTTTTTCTCTTTAGAAGCCATACACTAAACAAAAAGTTTACCATTTTTAACAACTGCAATCTCTTAAAAATTTCCATTACCACTGCAAAAAAAACCCCTACAGTTATAAGCATTAAAAATTAAATCCTCCTGGAGAAATTAGTGAAGTTAAAATGGCCACTGCTTACTTTAAATTTTAAACTCCAAGTTACTCGATCTCACAGAGTGGGGTATTTACCTTTGTCTTCCAAGCAGGTCTAAAACTCCTAACATCTGTGACCTTTATTTTATTTCAAACCCAGGTCTGGAATGTTTTCAGCCTACCTCCTCCATTACCATGTAAAAAGATCTTGTGATGTAAAACCACTAGCAATTATTATCGTTGCATTTTACTATTCAGGAAGAATTCTAAAACCCTCCACAGCCAAGACCTCTAGAAAACCACTTTTACTTTTCAAAGATTTCTAAAACATTGACTTGGAAAAACCAACCTAAGATTTAAAACAGATTTGGTAAAAATCAGGATATGCGCAACTGATGGAACACACACCTTTATCACAGCTATTTGAAAAAAAAAAAGAACAATTTTTACTGGAATAACAATATCATTGGATACATGGTTGAATAAACCAACAGCGCTGCTTTTAGATGTGCTACGTATCTAAGTATTCCGAACACTTATTTTTGAACACTTATTTTTACGCAGTTCTGCACCTTTACAGCACAAGAGCTCTGCAGAAGGAAGACATTCTAAAATACACAAAAGGTTTGTGCATTTCTGGTTTGTTCTCCAAACCATTAAACCTCAATTCTCTCTTCAGATCATTTTTAAATTAGACTAATCATTGAACTCTGCAATTTTTCGAAACCTGTTACCTTTAAAATACTGTTTCGTTTTGAAGCACATCTAGATTTTTATACATGCAACAAATATGGCTTCTCTTCGTCGTCCATTACTGACTGAGCAGCCCGACTTTAATATTTACACTACCAAAAAGTAACTTCACGAGAAGGAGATTTGGTTACCAGAATATTCCTTAGTAAAAGTTTTCGCTTTCTGGCTTATAATAATACAGCTTTTTTTTAAATGTATATAAAAAACTAAGAGGATCAAGTTCAACTTTTGGTCTCGGAACTGACCCAAGTACGTCTTTTCACATTCAGGTGTGAGAAGTTAAGACACCAGCTCCTCACGACGACCTTTTAACAAGTCCTAAACAATTTATTTACGTTCAAGTTGTCGAAATATCAAAAGATCTTAGCATAATTACTGAGGAGGAAAATCTGAATCAAACGTCATCGCCTAGCATCGTAATTATCGAATCCATTAAACAGCTTTGGCAACACAGTAAACTTGTCTTCGTCATTTTGGAAATAACCAGAAGAAGAAGAAGAAAAGGCTCCAACTTGCTTCTTCCCCCCCCCCACCCCCCCCCGACCCCAACAACAACCTGATCGCCATCAAATTACAAATTTAAAAAGAAGCTTCATGAACCTTCGCCTCTACAGCCAGTTTTTGCAATCAGCTTTCAAAGAGTTAAAAGCCAACACCCAATTTGGGGAGTGGGGCGGAGGGGGGGGGACTGAAGAGGAGGAAGGGGGGGGATAAAAGGCAAGTTTTATTTTTGTTCAAACGTAGTCAGGGGTTCCATTGTTCTTGTAAATTCCACCAGCCCAGATGAGTTCCCCAGGTCCTCGGGCAGAGAGCACAAAACCTCCGAGGTCCGGACCGACCTGGAGGGCGTTTCCCCCCCCAACACCCACCCTCCCGCCCACAATAACAGCATCAACTCCCCGGGACGGGAAGGGGCTCCGGGGCCGCGCCGTCCTCCCCCCCCCCCCGGCCGGGATCGCGCCCGCGGTGCCCGCCGCCCCGCGCCCGGCCGGCCCGGGGGGTCCCGGGCGCGGGCCTGCGGCGGGAGGGCGCCCACCCCGGGGCCCCGCGCCCCGGCCCCGCGGCGCATCCCGCCCCGCGCGGGGGAGCGGCTCTGCCAGCCCACCCCGAGGGCCGTGCGGGCCGCCCCGGCCCCGGCCGCCCCCTCCCTCCGGAGGCCGCGCTCAAGGACATTCGGCTTTTCCTCCCAAGGACAAAGGACAATAAAAAGGAGCCGCCGAGCCGCTTACCAGGCCCGGCCGCGGCCCGCGCCGCCCTCCGCCAGCTGGTCCTCCGGTCCCCGGGGTCGGAGGGGCCGCCCGCCCCGCGTCCGGGCGCCCGGCGCGGGGCCTCGCGGAGCCGCCATGGCCGCCATCGCCGCCGCGGAGCTTCCTCCGCCTGAGGAGCCGCCGCGGGCCCGGCCGCCCCGCGGAGCTCCGGCCCCCGGGCTCCGCCGCCGCGCCGCCCCGCCGCGCCGCGGCCGCCCCGCTCCCGGCGGCCCCCCCGGCGCGGCTCCCCGGCCACCCCACGGGCCCCGGGCCCGCGGCCGAACGGCTGACAGGCCGAGGCGCTGCCGCCTCTCCGGCCATCTTGAGCCGTGTGTGTCTGTGCGGGTGAGCGCGAGCGTGTGTGGTGTCTCTCCGTCTCCGCTCTCGGCTTCCCTCCTCCCCGCCCCCCCTCCGCCCGCCCCACACACACCACACAACATGGCCTCTCCGCTGCGGCGGCGGCTGCGGCGGCCCTGAGCGCTCCGCGGGGCTCCGGCGCGCGCCCCTCCCCCGCCCGCCTCCTGCCCGCAGCCCCGGACCCTGCTGCGCACGCGCGCCGCGCGCCGCCCGCCGCGGCCATTGGCTGAGACAGCTTCCTGTCTTCGTTCCCCCGCCCGCGGCTCCGACGCACGCTCGCCGACGTTTCCCCCACCCCGCCCCCCACAAGCGGTTCCAGCCCTCCTATTGGTTCCTTCTGACCCCGCCCCCCCCTCCTCCCACTATCTCCGCGTGGATAGGTTTACCTTGGTGCCACTCAACCCCTGTAGGCGTTTCTGCTTGTCCTGAGAAGTCCTGGGCCGGGGATTGGCAGATGTTGAGATCTCTGGGTTTGCCGAGGAGATGGTTTGCTTCCCGCAGTGCGGACCCCTCCTCGCCTAGCGGGAGGCTTCTTGGGAAAAACTGAGCAGCAGACCCTACCAGCTAATGGCTTTGCCTTTGGAGAAGAGCTCAGACTTCCTTGCTTCTGAGTCCAATGTTCTGTCGTCTTGAAAACAGAGAGAGAGAGAGATGACTGACAAGACGATGGACGATGGTTTGCCCAAGGGCAAACCAGCCATAGCTTCATGATGGTTTTTTTCTGCTCGTGGGGCTTGAACTCTGGGCCTGGGCTCTGTCCCTGAGCTGCTTTTGCTCAAGGCCAGCGCTCTACCACTTGAGCCACTGCCCCGCTTCCGGCTTTTCTAAGAAGGTTATTGGAGATAAGCGTCCGGCTCCTGCTGGCTTCGAACTGCAGTCCTCAGATCTCAGCCTCCCAAGTAGCTAGGATTATGGCCACTGGCTCCGGAGTACGATTTTTCCCCCCTAAACCCAGACCTTTCTCAGGGTCACAGAGTCAAAAGCATTGATTTTGTGACCAGCAAAGCCTCCAACCTCGTGTCCAAATTGAAATGTCATTTTATTTCAGGGTTGAAAGTTCCTTGTGGCCCATTTAGGAGAAGCAGTGTATGTATTATTTATAGGTGCACTGCCAGGCTCATCATCGTGGTTAGCCAGATTCTGCTCTCCAGAATAGAGTTGGTTAAGGAGATCGTTTGAACCTGGACCTGCAGTACAACATGTCCTCCCAAAAAATCAGGCAGAAAAGCTTTATTTCTTTCTGCAGATCTTTTATCTCCCTACGTATTCCTACTTCAATCAGAAATCAATTTTTAGGCATACCATAAGAAATGAAAAGTTGCCAGGCACTGTGGCTCATGTTTTTAATCCTAAGTACTCAGGAGGCTGAGATGTGAGGATCCTGGTTCAAACTCAGCCAGGGCAGGAAAGGTTATGAGACTCTCACCTCTGGTGAGAATATCAGAAGTGACACTGTGGCTCAAAAGTGATAGGGCCCTAACCTAGAGCAAAAAAAAAAAAAAAAAAAGCTCAGGGATAGCACCCAGAGCCTGAGTTCAAGCCCCATGACCTACAGAAAATAAAGGAAGGGGCTGGGAAGGTGGCTCAGTGGTAGAGTGCTTGCCTTGCATGCATGAGGCCCTGGGTTTGATTCCTCAGCACCACATAAGCAGAAAAAGCTGGATGTGGCACTGTGGGTCAAGTGGTACAGCACTAGCCTTGAGCCAAAGAGATGAGGGACAGCGCCCAGGCCGAGTTCAGGCCTCATAACCCACCAAGATAAAAAAAAATAAACAAATAAATACATAAATAAAGTGAAAAGTCAGTCTGGTACCAGTGGCTCACACTTGTAATCCTAACTATTTAGAAGGTTGAGATCTGAGGATAGTGGTTCCAAGTGATGGAAAAGGACTTAACCTAAAGCACCACCTCTCCCCTCCCCCCATAGCTGCATCCATAGCTACATCCTAAAACTGTCCTTGTTGCCTGAATCATCGCACCTTCCCAATCCCCTAAGCAAACATAACTTGCAGTTTTAGAGCAGAGAGCCTGAGACCAAGGCTACCTCTGATGCCCAAGCCCTGACCAACACAGATGCTATAAAGGCTTTGAAACCCCTCAGCCACAATAACAATGCTCATCCACCCCACCTCCATCTCACTCCACTTTCATCTGCACTCTCCCCACCCCCCGACCAATTTCACTTTTTCTGCCTAATATCTAAAGAGCCCTAGTTGGAAGGGGGCGGGAGGGGGGGCAGTGCACCATTTCCCCTTCAGCCACACTGAAGGAGACTTGGTAGCCCTTCCCAAGGCTTCATTCTGGAATAAAGCCTATTAGTCTGTTGAGTTCATTTTCTGCCCTTTCTTTATTTTGATACTCTCATGATTCAGTTTCCTTACACCAAGCCAGCCAGGGCAAAGAAATAAATAAATAAAAGTCTCTGAGACTCTTATCTCCAATTAACCATGAAAAAAATTGCAGAAGTGGAACTGTGGCTCAATTGGTACAGTGCTCACCTTGAGCTAAAAAAGCTCAGGAACTGTGCCCAGATCCAAAACAGACATACACAAACAAATAAAAATGAAGTTGGGCATGGTGGCTCATGCCTGTCATCCTAGCTACTCAGGAGGCTGAGATCTGAGGATCACCATTCAAAGCTAGCCCAGGCAGGAAAGTGAAACTCTTTTTTTTTTTTTGGGTGGGGGGGTCCGCTCGTGGGACCTGAACTCTGGGCCTGGGCACTTGTCCCTCAGCTCCTCAGCTCAAGGCTAGCGCTCTACCACTTGAGCCACAGTGCCACTTCCAGCTTTTTTTTCCTGCTTATGTGGTGCTGAGGAATTGAACCCAGGGCCTCATGCATGCAAGGCAAGCACTCTACCACTGAGCCACCTTCCCAGCCCAGGAAAGTGAAACTCTTATCTCCAATAAACCACTAGAAAACCAGAAGTGGTGCTGTAGCTCAAGTGATAGAGTACTTGCCTTGAGCTGAAGAGCTGAGGGACAGCTCCTAGGCCCAGATTTCAAGCCCCATGACCGACAAAAAACAAATAAAATAAAAATAAGTGAAAGTTTTAATATCCCTTAAATAGAGAAGAGAAGAAAAAGAAGTTTCTCTCTCTCAATGCCAGTTTTTAGGTCTCTTTGGGGAAGAGACCTGGAGTAAAAGAAAATAAGACCAGATAGATGGTCTTAGTTCCAAATATTATTAGCTTTTCGGGTTTTTGTTGTTGTTGTTTTGAGAGAGAGAGAGACAGGCAGGGCAAGGGGACCAACACAAGTTCTCTAGAGCCCTGCCACAGAGTTAGAATCCAAAAGCACTAGTTCTATTATGGGAGATTTTAGACCCTAGGGTCAAACTCTTGGATAGGTAAGTTCCAGCCACATGCACCAGTACACTCAATAAAGAGACAAGTAACAAAGAAAGAAAGACCAGGCGCCAGTGGCTCACACCTGTAATCCCAGCTACTCAGGAGTCTGAGATCTGAGGATCACTATTCAAAGCCAGCCCCAGCAGGAAAGTCTATGAGACTTTTATCTCCAATCAACCACCAGAAAACCAGAAGTGGCATTGTGGCTCAAAGTGGTAGAGTCGCCTTGAGCTGAAGAATTCAGAGACAGCGCCCAGGCCCATAGTTCAAGCCCCACTAGCAACAAAAACAAAAAACAAAATAAGAAAGAAAAGGAAAGGTATTCATTTCAACCCTAAGTGCCCATCCAGACCTTTCCTTTAGGTTTAGATGGGGAAAAGAATTGGAAGTAGAAGTATGCATTCATTATTACATTGAACATGTCACAACTGTGTTCCTGTTGTCCTTGGTGATACCACAGGTGGCCCGGCAAGTCTTAGTCTCAGGAACTGGTCAGTTGCAGCCTGATGAAAATGAGCATCATGGGGCTGGGAAAGTGGCTCAGTGGTAGAGTGCTTGCCTTGCATACATG